GCTCTGTGCTGGGTGTGGAGCCTGCTTAAGATTCTCTCTCTCCCTCTGCCCCTTCCTCCTACCCCCGCTAGCTTGCTCTCTCTCGCTCTCTCATGAAAAAAAAAAAAAATCTAGTGGAAGAGCTAAGAATAGCCAAGAGAGTTTTAAAGAATATCAAGGTGGGAAAATTTATTTGCCAGTTATTAAGACTTAAAAATATCTAATTATTAAATCAGTATTAGATTGTCAGATTGATACATACATAGATCAGTGGAATAAATTAGCACAGGAAAGACACATACATGAAACTTGTTATCTGAAAGAAGAGCAATACAAATCAGTGGGAAAAGGATATTTAGCAAATGGTGCTAGGATAATTGGCTATCCAAATAGGAAGGAAAAAATAATAAAGATACCTTTCCCACATATATAGAAAAATAATCCGCAGGTTGATTGAAGACGTGAATTCTCTTTAAACTTTCAGAAAAAAAATTTAAGAGGGTGTCTTTATGATCTCAGGATAGGGAAAGATTTCTTCAATAGATATTTGACTAGAAGAAAAAATATGTGAATAGAGTACATTCGAGATAAAAACTTGGGTATTACAAAAGACATCATCAATAAAAGACTACCCCAGCTACAGAAAGGGAGAATATATTTACAATAAATGTAACTGAGAATTGATTAGCATCCAGAATTTAGAAAGTTTGTTCACAAAAATCATACTAATAGAAAAATGGTTAAAGAATATGATCAGGCCATTTACAAAAAAATAAAATTTGAAGAACTACTAAAAAAATGAAAAATGTCATTCTCATCAGCAACCCAGAAAATGCAAATTAAACAACAATATAATAAGTACTTGTTGAATGAATGAAGGAAATAAGAGATTTAAGTTATAGTAAAATTTTCTCCAGATTAAAGTCAATCTCTGAGGATTGAATGTGTTTCCCTCGGTAATCCACAATTGACTTCTTTTTTTTTAAGGTTTTATTAATTTTTTTGAGAGCATGAACAGGGGAGGAATAGAGGGAGAGGGAGAAGCAGACTCCCCGCTGAGCAGGGAGCCTGATGTGGGCCTTGATGGGATCGTGACCTGAGCTGAAGGCAGACGTTTAACCAACTGAGCCACCCAGGCACCCCCACAATTGACTTTTGAACTTATTTTAATCACTAAGAACTCAGATTTAGTGTTTTTTTCTTATTTGAAAACCCTATTAGGTGGGGGGGGAAAGGTGGTTTGCATTGAAATTATTGTATCCAGGACCATATCTCCAACCTCCTCCTGAGACTCATAGGGAATAAGAGTAATAGGCAGGAACCAGATCCTATATGATGGTAAAATTTTAGTGGGGTGTGTCAAGTAACTATCTTAAAAGTTCTGTGAGTAACAATAAAAACATGGATAATTTCTTTTAAACTCAATAAAAAGTTTAAAACCATTTATGTTATCAGTACTCCATGATTATTTATCAGAATTACATATATTTGTCATATTTCACCACTAAATTATGTGTACTTTCAAGGAAGAAACTAACATAGAATGTATACCCTGTGTGTGCTATTATATATGCATTTTTTAAATTTTTATAATTATAATTAGTATGTATTCCATATATATGTGCTATGTATAACGTACACAGAAAAGTAAAGAAAACAAATATAAAGCTAAGTGAATGATTACAAGGTTCAAAACTCATATAACCAAAACTCAGATAAAAAAATAGAACATTTCCAGGACCTCAGAAGCCCCCTTGTAATCATAATCTCTCCCTTATCCTCAAAGGTAATTGAAGATAACCAAAGTCTTTAATTTTACACTATGAGCTTTATGTCGATGGAATCAAAACCATGTATTCTTCTGTTTTGGCTTAACATGATGTCTTTGAAATTTATCCATATTCTTGTATGTAGATGTAGTTTGTTCATTTTTGTCTCTGTAAAATATTCCAGTTTTAAATTTATCATGTTTATCTGTTCTTCTTTTGATGGATAGTTGCAGTTTCCAGTTTGGAGGCCATTGAGAATAATGCTGTTATCAGTATTTTTTGTCATGGCCCTTGGTGCTCAAGTGCACACATTTTGGTTATGTATATTCTTAGGAATTATATATATGTTTAATTTTAAAGTTGTACTAATTTACATTCCCACCAGCAGTGTAGGAGAGTTTTCATTATTTTACATTGTCACCAACATGTTCTATAATTTTAGCTCTTTATTGTAATTTTAATTTGTATTTTCCTGATGCCTAATGAGGTTGAGCAGCTTTTCTCCATTTATTAGCTCCCTGGGTAACCTTTATGTGAAGTGCCCATTCATGGCTTAACACTTTTCTATAGGATTGTGTTTGTGTCTTATATTTTTACTCTCTTAAAAGTCTCTTTGTTGAACAAAAGTTCTTAATTTTAATGTGGTTCAGTTTATCAGGTTTTTTTTTCCACTTATCTTTAGTGCTTTTTGTGTTCTGATTAAAAAATCTTTCCCTATCCTGAGATTTATAAAGATAGTCTATTCTTGTCTAGAATTTGTTTTGGCATTCACAGTTAGATCTTTGTTTCACCTAGAATTGATTTTTATGGATAATGTTTTATTTTTTATGAGGATATCCAATTGACCCAGAACCAATTTTAAAAAGATTATTCTTTTTTTTCATTTTTTAATTAACATGTAATGTATTATTTGTTTCAGTGGTACACGTCTGTGATTCATCAGTCTTACACAATTCACAGCACTCACCATAGCACATACCCTCCCCAATGTCCATCACCCAGCCACCCCATCCCTCCCACCCCCCTCTACTCCAACAACCATCAGTTTGTTTCCTGAGATTAAGAGTCTCTTATGGTTTGTCTCCCTTTCTGGTTTCATCTTGTTTCCTTTTTTCCTCCCTTCCCCTATGATCCTCTGCCTTGTTTCTCAAATTCCATAAATCAGTCAACCAGAGAAAGACAATTATATGATCTCACTGATAGGTGGAATTTGAAAAGATTTCTCTTTACCCGTCACTGCTCTGGAGTGCCCCTTCAATCATAATTCACGTGTTCTAAATGAACATGAATTTATCTTTGTATTCTTTATTCTCTTCCATTGGTCAATTTTGTTTATTTTTATACAACTATCACACTAAATGACTGTAACTTTGTAATAAATCTTGATAACTGGTAAAGCAAGTCCTCCCCCATTCTACTTTTGCAAGAATGCCTTAGCTATTCTTGTTATGTTTCCACCTATATTTTAGAATCAACTTTTAAATTTCTGCAATATCATCTTTTGGAATGTTAACTGAGATTGCATTGAGTCTATCTATAGATCAACTTGAGGAGAACTGCTGTCTTTACAATACTGACTCCTGTAAACCATGAGTATCTCTCTCTACTTATTTAGTCTTTAATTTCTCTGCTGAATGTTTCGTAGTTTTCTGTACACAGTCTTACACATCTTTTGTTTAAATCTTTTAGATTTATTCCTAGACATTGGGTTTTTGTATGGTATTGTAAATGATATCTTTTATTCTAATTTTGTTGGCTGTATATAGAAATATAATTAATTTTTGTATATTGACCTTGTATCCAACAACCATGCTGAGGGTCATTATTCTAAAACTTTATCTGTGTGTTCTCTGGGATTTACCTATACCTATACATGATTAACTATGGATAATGGATAATGGGTTTTTTTTTTCCTTTTCAGTCTTTATACCTTTTATTTCTTACTTGACTTATTGCATAAACTTAGACCTCCAGTAGAGTGTGAATAAATGTTAAGACAATTTGTCCTTGTGTCATTCCCAATTTCCAAGAGAAAGTTTTCAACATTCTCATCCTTAAGTATGATGTTTGCTGTACATTTATGTAGGAATCTATTGTTTTATTAAGGAAATTAACTTCTTAAATTCCTGAGGCTTTATCATGAATATATCTTAAGTTTCATCAGATGCTTTTACTGTAACTTTTGAGACGATTGTGTTTGTTGATCTTTTTTGCATGTTTATTTTCCATTTCTTTGGGGGTAGGCTTATCTTTATTATTTCCTTCACTTGATGCTCTTTGGGTTTAATTTGCTTTTCTTCTAACTTTTTGGGATAGACCAAGAGTTCATTGACCATAAGCCTTTTTTCCTAGTATGTATAATTAAAGCTATAGATTTTTTTTTTTGAGCAAGTTTGAGGTATTACATTTTCACTGTCGATCAATTCACAATACATCCAAATTTGTTTTGTAATTTCTCCTGTGACCCATGGTTATTAAAAAGTAATTTTTGAACTTCAAAATGTATTAAAATTTTCCCTTTTTGGTTTTTGATTAAACTTCATTGTGCTCTTGTCAGGTAACATGCTGTCATTGGCTTTCAGTCTTTTTGAGAGTTGAGATTTACTCCATTGCTAGCAAATTATCAGTTTTAAGTGATCCATGTGATCTTGAAATAGTAAGTTTTGTACATTTACTGTGTTCTATTATATGTTTTCTTATGATGTGAATAAAAATATCAATCATCTTATGCTTACTGAGAGCACTTGGCTTTATTCCAGTCCTTCATTTCTAGTATCTCTTACTCACTCCTGTATAATGTGGAATCTTTGTCCTTCCGTTTCTCTTCTGTGTGGAGATTTGTCCTGGAACACAATTTTAGCCAGTTTTCACTATTGGAAAAAATATGGCTATAGTTTATCTTTTCAGTTCACTTCTAGTAGCAGGAATAAAAAAAAAAGTGGAGAGTATTTTTTTACTTCTGCTAACCTGAAGAGTAAACCAGGAAAAACTGAGAATTAAAATGTAAGAAATTAGGAATATTAGTTCTTTGCAGCTATTCTTTTTCCCACTAGCAGTAGGTGGTTGGCTTACGTGTATAGAAGGGCCTTTTCTTAAATTCCAAAAACGTGTTGAAGTTGATGATTCATTTTGAGAAGCAGTGAAGACTAGCAGTTTTGCATTGGATATATCGGATAATAACTACCTTGTTTGTAGTTTTTAAATATTGAGCATTAGCCAGTGAAATACAGATTTTTTTTTACTTTGTTTCAGATCAACGACTAAATGAAGTACTTAGACGATATCACATGGAGAACTTTTCCAAATATTCGTCGGTGCAGGTATGTAAATTAGTTAAGGTCTAACAAACTAGGTTCAAATTTGTATATATATATATATATACATATATATATAAATTCTATTTAGGATTATTCTCATGTGAAGTTGCCTATAGCACTTTGAAATTTGCTTACAATTGGGATTTTTATAAGGGAATGCTTGTTTTTGCTTAATAAAACTTCTTTGACCATAGAAATTGACTTTTTTTTCTGATTTGGAGCTTAGGTATTATGTATGATGTTAAAATGTCTGAGTTCTAAAATGAGAATTCATTGACGTTTTGAAACCTAAAATCTCTTCTTAAGATACATTTCGTAATAAGCTTTAACTTGGAATTCTCATAAATTATGGCAAGCAAAAACTAAAAACAGTAAATATATGGCATTGTTTTAATATTTCTTTCCTTGGGTACATGTTCTTATTAAATATTCTGTTAAAAATTTTTTTGAGCAATAAGGTATATTTATTGGTCGACTCTTGAGTTACACAATATTAAAAGAACAGTAGTTTCTGTTAGTGATAGCACCCTACTGAATTAATAAGGACATGTTTTGCTTTTGACATCAATGAATCTTGTAACCAAAACATATTGTTTTGGGGTACCCGGGTGGCTCAGTTGGTTAAGTGTCCAACTTTTGATTTTGGCTCAGGTCATGATTTCAGGGTTGTGAGATCAAGCCCTGCATTGTTCTGTGCTGGACATCGAGCCTGCCTGGGATTCTTTCTCTTCCTCTCCCTCTACCCTCACCCCTCCCTCCCAGTCATGTGCCCTCTCTCTTAAAAAAAAAAAAAAATTTTTTTTTAAGGTATTAAAAAGGAAGTTGTTTTTAAGAAATTAAAAAGTAATAGTTTATCTTGTTGACTTGATTATACTTATCCTTAAAGATATTAAAGATACTTTCTTTAGTGTAGTTTCAACATTTAGCCTGCTGCTCTATTTTTATTTACAAAGACCAGACTGAGTCCAAAGGGTCTTAAAACTATCCATCTACTATTTAATCATGATATTGTTTTTCTTACGTTATTTTGTTACTCATACTTAACTAAGAACTGTTATCATTTAGGTGATAGAGAATCTTTCATAATACAGCAGCCTCTAAATTTTATTCAGGTTCTTAGGTTCTTTTTCTTCTGCTTATTGTCTTATAGAATATGCCTAAAAGGAGGATTCAAACAAAAGAGTGATTTTAAAGCCCAAGAAGATCTCTGGGCATGGTATTATATCTACTGTCACTATGGCTGACTTGATTATGAAAGATGGTTTTACCAGATAAAACAATGACTGTATGTAACCCTTTAGATGCACCTGCCTTGTACGTTGTGATTAATTAATTAAAGCCTCATGGTAACATACCAAGTAAGGTCAAGTCTTCTCTTATTTAATAGTGCACTCTCCTGTGAAATTATAGCTCCTTTAATTCTCTAAAGGTACATGCTCTTCTTTTACAGGTACTATTCTTTTTTTTTTTTTAAGATTATTTATTTATTTATTTGACAGAGAGAGACATAGCGAGAGAGGGAACACAAGTAGGGGGAGTGGCAGAGGGAGAAGCAGGCTTCCTGCCTAGCAGGGAGCCCGATGTGGGGCTCAATCCCAGCACCCTGGGATCATGACCTGAGCCGAAGGCAGATGCTTAATGACTGAGCCACCCAGGTGCCCCACAGGTACTATTCTTATAGTCATACAGTCAAATCTTGATTCCTATCTCTTATTTTTGATAGTACTGTATTGTTACTGCCTAAGAGTCTTCTGCAGTTCACTGTCTCTTCAGAATATGTTGCTGTCTCAAAATATCAATTCCCATGGGTCTTGCCTTTCACTGCATAGTTTGCGGTGATGAGAAAGGAGGTGATATGAGAGTATGAGAGAGAAAGAGATTAATCTGCTTTCTAGCAATAAGGTCCATATCCTTGGCCATATGTAGTGCATTCTTTGGTTCTTCACCCCAGAAACATTATTCTGGTTTCTGAAAAAATGAAAATGTCCAAGAGGAATTTTTTAATTTGTACTTTTTTCAGTTCGTAGTATTTTTACTTTTTTCTGTTTGTAGACATAGACATAGGAGGAAACCATTATCAAAGGTTATGTGAAACCCAGGAGCACTGGCTGAGATCTCTTGTCACTAACTTTAGTGATTGCCACTAGCAACAGAAATCCTTCATAAATTTATATTTGCCCTTTTTGTTCAGCTATGTTTCCCAGGTGCCTAAAACAATTCTTGTTAGTAGAAGCTCAATAAATACTTGTTGAATGAATGAAACAATTATATCCCCCCTTTACTTTCCTCCTACCTATCTTCCAACATCATTTGAGCTCTATATGCCACTTACAGTAAAAGTGGAGATGAAAAAGTCATGATCAGTTTGTGAAATACAAACAGTTCATCCTTTTTAGTTCTATTTTTCAAGATAAAATCCCAATGAAAATGCCTCCTTCCTTCCTCACACTAGGCAAATTGCCAGGACTTGTGTTAAATGAACATACTTTATGAAACTTTTCTATAGAAAAATAAAGCTGCTAGAATTTGATACTTATTTCTTGTATTTTAAGTTGGAATTTCAAACTTGATTTTCTATAGAAACTGTTATAAGTGATAGTTAAAATTCTTTTGTGCTATCACTATATAATGATCATTTAGGTTTCCCATGAATCAAAGAAACTTTTGTGAATTAAGATTTTTTGGTATAGTATTGTTTCTTAGGGAAATACATGATACATTTATAATAACTAATGATACATAAATTGTATGGATTTAAACTGAAAGTTGGACTTCTCCAATGTGTAGAATAGCTTGTATATTTAGTATATTTGGTTCATTATACTTTAATAATTCATCTTTTATTTAAAGATTTATTCATTTAATTTGAGAGAGAGAGCATGCGCACACATGCACCAGGGTGAGGGGCAGAGGGAGAGGGAGAGAGTCTTAAGCAGACTCTGTGCTGACTATGGAACCCAAATGCAGGGCTTGACCTCACAACCTGAGATCATGACCTGAGCCAAAATCAAAAGCTGGAATAGACTTAATCGACTACACCATCCAGGCACCCCCATTCATCTTTTAAAAAAACTTCTTAAAATTGTATGTAACCTTCTAAAGATATTTAAACAACAACTAGTTTCTTGAATGATCCTTTCTGGGTTGCTGTAAAATTTAGTTGTCTTTCTTTGATTATTTTGTTTTCTATATAAATAAAAAGTATCTCAAGTGGCATTGTTCTTTGAGAGTGTAGTAGTGGGCACTGCATGACAAATATTGAAAGATTTTAGTCAAGACTATGGAAAATTTCCCTCTTTTCCGAATTCATTGTTCCTACCTTTTTTTTTTTTCTTAAATACCTGTCTTTTCTCACTTGTAGGCTGGTTAATTCCTCTTTAAAATCTATGCCATACCAGTACATCTGTGTACTGATTAGTGTTTTGGTTCTCTTCAAACTTGCTGGAGGGACAGGGTAGAATATTAAAAATAAGTTTATTTTCTCTGAAAACTCTCCTAAAAATATCTTCCTCTTCTAGCTTGGGACTGTTTCTACTCATTCTACTTGAACCCAAATTTAAAGTTAAATTGAGATCTAGTCTGCTGGGAAAGAAATGGAACACATAAACTGGAAAGAGGGAAGGAATAAACATAAAAGCATAGTGCCAAGAAGGTATGAGCTGGTTCTGGAAGGGAAAGACAGTCATAGTGCAAATGTATTGATTGATTCAAAAAACATTATTAATTCAGCAAATCTTGAGTGCATGCTTGAGCTGGGTAAGCTTTGGGGACAGAGCTATGATTAAGATAGACAAAGGAGGGGCACTTGCATGGCTCAGTCAGTTAAGTATCTGCCTTCAGCTCAGGTCATGATCCCAGGGTCCTGGGATCAAGTCCTGCATCGGGCTCCTTGCTCAGCGGGGAGCCTGCTTCTCCCTCTGCCACTCCCCTTGCTTGTGCTCTCTCTGTGTCTCTGTCTCTGACAAATAAAATCTTAAAAAAAAAGATAGACAAAGGATCCGACCTAAGTGGAAGAGATAGGAGTGAATAATTAAGTAATTAAAATTGGTCTATCATATGAAGAAAACAGTGGCCTGAAATAGAGATTAACGTGTATGTAGTGTAGTAGTGGTGGTTGAGGCTGAGACATATATTTGGTAGAAAGGTCAGAGTAGGCCTCTCTACCACAGTAGTATTCAAGTTGGCACTGAAAGTTGGAAGAATGAGCTAGACAAGTGGACCAAAAAAGAGGCCCTGATTCAGGAAAGAATTTGACTTCTTGTATAATGTATAGGAGCTGATCCCAACGATAATCAAATAATAGTTATTTGAAAATACATTGATAGGAACAGGAGGTCCACTCCTGTTGATCATGAGTTAAAAAATATAAGACTCAATAGATAAAATATAGCAGACTACCTGTAGTATTTGAATTGACTCAAATTACTGGCTTTATAGGCCAGTACTGTCAAATAGAACTTACTATGGTGATGGAAATGTTGTATAATTTTGTGCTATCCAATATGGTAGCCATTAAACAAATGGGACTTTTGAGCACTTGAAATTAAGCTAGTATAATTGATAGATGTTTTATTTAATTTTCATTTTAAATACATGAAATTTAAATTTAAGTAGATGCATGTGGCTTGTGGCTCTTGCATTGGGCAGTGCAGTTCTACACTGTCCATCTGATGAATTACTCAGGTTTAAAACCTTGAAGGGTTGATTTTACATCATCCCATGATGATGTTAGAAAATCAGTGATTTAAGGCGGAGCAAGATGGTGGAGGAGTAGGAGACCTGGATTTCCTCTGGTCTCAGGAATTCAGCTGGATAGGGATCAAACCAATCTGAACACCTACGAACTCAACAGGAGATCAAAGAAAAGAATAGCAACAACTCTCTGAACAGAAAAGCCACCACTTTCTGGAAGGTAGGACGTGCGGAGAAGTGTATCTGAGGCAATATTCGGGAGGATAGTTGGCGGGGGAGGGGGCCTCCATCGGCCGCCTCTGGCAAGTGAT